CGATTTGGAAATTATGATCGTCAAATATTTATTAAGTATTTGATCGTCAAATTTTTATTTGATTTTGGCGAGCACTATACTTAGCATAGAGTTTGCATGATAAATACAATACAAGTAGCAAAGACAAACCTCTCAACATTATTGCTAAAATAATTAAAAATTTGTATGATAAACTTTTAGGATATTATTATAATCAGTATCAAATGTCACTTCGATCTCGTTGGGGCTATGAATTACGAACTGCAAAGCAGTATCTTGACCGTTATGAGGCTCATAAGCAATTTACTCAATGGTTTATTACACAATTAGAGAATTATCACAAAACTCCCAAATCATATCTTAGAGATTGGCAACTTTTTAAATCATGGATAACAAATCCAAAATTAAATATCCAGATCAAATATATAGTTAATTTCGCTGAGCACTTTTATGAACCCCTAGTACAATTTATGGTCGGTCAAGATCCCATTTTACGTATTATACAAAATGATCAATTAATTAAATTACCTTCTGATAAACGTGCACATGAGATGACAGAAAAAGTTTAAAATGAAAAGAATATCTTGAAAATCTTAGAGATAACTTTGAATTGTTTTTTTCTGACAAATTACTGGAGGCAATAGATTTATTACCAAGTAATGAATTTTAAAATTTGTTTGATGATTTACAACGTGGAGTTAATAAAACTTATGACTATTTTGAGAAATGGATGGATTCATGGTTATATTTACCTTTAACAATTTGCCAACTTGGCAGAAATCATGCTCAATCATTTGCTAATAGTTATCGATTTGTAATTCTTAAGAAGCCTTGGATTCAATTGCCTACAGAATTGGAGCTAAAATATGCAAATAATTTGGAGGTTGATATTAGTAATGGAAATACAAATGATTTTGGCTTGCATAGGTCATTATTACATAATACAGAATTTTATCAAGAGTTTGAGAGTTTTTGCACAACTAAGGATTCCAAATTACATGAATTTTCTAAACTTTATAGTTTCGTTAAGACCCATATTTATTTTATTGTTGTCCACCAGCAGCAAGTCGAGGGGATTTTTAATATATGGATTTAAAAACCCATCCAAATATGTCACGACTTTCAAAGGAATCTAAACTTCGCTTAGCTTCAACTCAAATTGAACGTGAAAATTTGAATTCGGGTCTTGAGAAAATACGATCTGAAAGAATACGACAAAAAATTGCTGTATTGCAAGACATCCAGCAAACACAATTCGGTGAAGAAGCTGCATCAAATCTTTTAAATAACTTGTTAAAATAGTATAACTAGTTATTAAATCATAAATATATATACTGTATCGGCACATATAAATAAATTTCCATTATTACATATTGCTTTAAAAAAATTGTAGAGTTCTATATTTTTATATATCGATAATATATAATTACATATTGCTTTAAAAAAATTGTAGAGTTCTACATTTTTATATATCAATAATATATAACGTACATGTATTATAAAAAAAATCTTCAATAATAAATTTTTATAAGATACCACATATATTTTTGATCTACATAGCTGACAGCCCACCCCAGTGTGGCGTGGCAATCTACGGACAATTTTTAGGACAGTGCAAATAACGTGAGTAGTTTGTTAGAGACAGTTAGGGTAGTGCTAATATAAACTCTAAATAAGTTAATTTCAAAAAATTTTTTGAAGCAGAGATGAAATTTTTGATATCGATACTGATGTGCTGAGTTCATAAAGAAGGAAAACGCGAACCAGTATACTATAATTTGCCAACTAGAAATCAGACGTTGTTAATGTTCTTTAAGAAATTTTCAGTTTTATTAAGATTGCAAAATTATTATAGAATATACAGTAGTGTAATTGAAATATTATGGTTATTAACATTAGGTAGCAAAATGGTTACTTCACGCTAGTAACAATGTAATGTTTGCTATATTGCTAAAATAACTAATTTTGCTTCTTTCAAAAAATTTTTTTTGTACAGTACATATACTGTACTTCATTTCGTTCCATTCATGTTATAAAAATAAAAGCGAAAGTTGATTTATAAAATACTTGATCTTTCACGTTCTTTATATTATTTAGATGTGCTATAATCTTTATTAAAATTTTAACATTCTTGGAGAGGAAAAAGAAGAGTATATATATAGCATCTTAGTGATTAAGGAAATTGATTCTTACAGTTTGCCATTCCTACTATTTCCCACTCCATCTTAACCAGATTTTAGCCACAATTCGCTTTTCCTAATTGCATTTCATTCTAATCACATAAACTTGACTTCATTATGCGTGTGGCGAACGAAAATAACAAAGAAATACATAAAATAAGATGGAAGTACAAATAATATGTTGACTCAGGTGGTATAAGTGTCGTATCTAAAGTTACTATCTATCTTAAGTTGCAACTTTAGATATATAAAGTTGCACCTAACAGGAATTATATGTATGAAGATCTAATTTCAGGGGCTTAATTTCAGTCAGATCAACTTTATATATCTAAAGTTGCAACTTGTAACTTTAGATATGACATAAGCACATTTATCATAATTAAAAGAAATTGCTAAATTAATTAATGATATGTTTAATTAATTCCTTTTTACGTAAAAAATTTTCGGATAAATCAGTTAATTGAAAGGCCCATTATTTTTAAAGGAATATTGATATCCTCGTATCCATTGGATTTTATGTCGGCTTTCAAGAATTCTCCATCAGAAGTAATAAAAAAGTAATTTATTTCAAATTCTGTATTTTCGGATTCATCATCTGATTCATCTTCGAATTTATCACTTTCATTTTCGGATTCATCATCTGATTCACCTTCGAATTTATCACTTTCATTTTCAAATTCATCATCTTCAGATTCGCTATTCTGAGATTCATTATTTTTGGACTCGTTATTTGTAGGTTCATTATGTTCAGATTCAATATTTTCAAATTCATTATTCGTATTGAGTAAACTATAATCTATATTTAATTCAATACTACCATTTTTATTTCCATTTTTATTTTCTAACTGAATAGGTATTGATGATTCGTATAATAAAATAATCATCGAACTTAATTCAGAGCTTTTTGGAATCTTTAATGATAATTCTTTTTGATTCTGTTCAACTTTTTTGGTTCCTACATTTAATATAGATATTTTTTGGGCATTTGTGCTATAAAAATTAACTTGATTTGGTAATCCAATTAGCATCCATATCATTTGCAAATTCATAGAGTTTACGCTTATAAAAAAATAATAATTAGTTTTGGATTAATGAAAGTTAAAACTTTAATTCTATTACTTACTTGAGTTTGTCAAGATTTTCAATAATTACTAAAAATCCAGTTCTAGTTGTAGACTTTATTTCAACAATAGCCTCATCAACTGCAGCAATTATTTGTCTATCAGTTTCATCAGTTTTTGTAATTTTTGCAATAACTTGATATTCGCTACTATCCACTTTATCGGAAAAATTTACTCGATAATATTTATTATTTTCATAAATTTGTATAATCCCTGACATAAGTACTTGTTTTCTGTCTGCCTTTTCCAAAATTGATTTTATTCTTTGACTAATAGATTCTTCAAATATTTCATATAATGGGAATAATTCACTCTGATTAATAACTTTTAATGATTCAAAATCGTGTTTAGAACATGCGCTTATCCATTTTGCAACAATATCTTTATTAATTGCTTCCTTGTTTGTTGACATAAAATAATTAATATCCACCCCATACTCATTTTTCCACAAATCAAAAAGATTATCTAATTTTAATGAAGCATTATCAGATGATTCTTCAATTTCCAATTGATATTCATCAGAATTGATTGTTTTTTGAGTGACAAAAAGTGACGTATTATACAACTTTTCTCCAAGTATAATTTTTTGAGGGAAGATATACCCATACATATTGAATATTTTGATTAATTCTTGATATGGCCTTGGATTATTTAATGCATTGGTCACTGCTTTTCTAATCACCTCCTTATATATTACGCAGTTGGCGTCACTATGTTTTTTTGGCGACGCTTTTTTTTAACAGAGGTCCCTAT